TCTCTTGAACAGTTTTTTAACTTTCCCTCTTTTATTGTACCATGACACTTGCATAGTTTTCTCCAGGATAAAGTTACCTCTGGTTAATTATATACACAGGAAAGAGACTGTTCAGTCTTAATATAACCTTGTATATAGGTACACACAAATGGAAGGAAAGAAAAGTTTTATGATCAACACAATAATGCAGCATTGTCAAAGGCACTTTGTATTAATATATTTTTCATGATTTTCTGCAGATTGATAGTGTAGACCGTCCATCATGGCAAGCTCAGCTGTCAGGCAAAAAGACGTGGACTCTCATCCCTCCCCCAGAGTGTGAACATGTTTGTCAGTCCATGACAATAACAATAAACAAGGGAGAGATTTGTAAGTCTGCTTAAGTTTTGATACAGATTATAGGGTTATTTTCGGCTTTAGAAAGGAAGAGAAGTGTACACTGTGAGTAAATCCTGTAGTAGACAGTACATGAATGGACAATAGGTTGTGCTGAAGATACCTGTTTTAAGACCATTTTTGTTTCATGTTTAGAACCTGAACTTGAAATATATGTTGTAGTAATTTTTATTTTTCCATTGTTTCAACTTCATTACCATACATTACCATAACCAAAAACAAAAGAAAAACAAAAATTACCTGAGATTAAAAAAAAAATGCAACATATTAGATGATATACTACAAATGTACAAAATAATTAGGATAGACTTTGCAGGTGACAATATTTTGGTAGTTTGAAAGACTGAAAAATACAAGACCTACACATTACCTACACCAGACTTGCATTAACAAAGAAAAAACCCCTCCCCCGCCTGACCCATACTCAATGGGACACAAAATTATCTTATTCAATATGTCAGCATGTTAATGGTACACACTCATGTGCCAAAAGATTAGTATACAAACATCCTTTGCAGCGTGCAAAGAAAATTGTGTCCGATAGCCCGGGGCTAGTGGATTTTGCCATCAGGCAAGTGAATATTGTTCTCAACTTGCTCGATGGGCAAGTGAATTTTTTTGAGAAATTCCAAATACAGAAGAAATGTGAAATCAATTCTGCTCATCAAAACATTTTTGGGGCTAGTTCAAATGACGTTTGGGCCAGTAAATGCTACCTTCAGCTTGCCCTAATGGCAAGCTGTAAAACTGACTTTCTTTGCACCCTGCTTTGCCTTTTACTGCTGTAGCTTATGTATTCTACGAGATCAAAGGTCACTTATCACAGAGTAGCTTATTTATGACATTTTTCAATGCCAAGTGTTAACTGTTTTGATAATTATCTGATTGCATTGTTTACTTCCAGTTATTGTTGACACAAACCAGTGGTATCATGCAACCAAGGTTCTGCCAGGAGACCTCAGTATTACAATTGGAGCAGAATATGATTAGAATAAATCATTAAAAGTGAAAAGTTCATTAAAGCAATTAATAATATTTTCTGTAGATAATATTATACAAGACCATGTGATGTTACAGAATATTTTAGAAAATTAATAGTTTTGCTCTCAACTAACATCACAATTTAAAAAGTTTTTTCACATGTTACAAATTCCAGAAAACACTGATGCTTCCCTCACTGTTTTTTTTTTGTTTGAACTTCCAACTACTCTTGAAATTCCCATTTTTAGCTTAAGATTTTTCTTTAACTTAGCCTTTATGGACCCCTTCCCCTCTCACTTATTTCCAATGACCCTTCATGGGGTGGGTATGGATATTTTCTGGAACTACATAAAATAAATAATTAAATAATAATAATAATTATAATAATAATAATAGTAACCATCATCACCATCATCATCATCATAAAGAGAGCAATACAGAATGACAGATTTAATTTATTATTTAGTTGGAATGCAAGTATTTATGTCTTTGATAAAACACTTATAAATTAGTGTTAACTGTCTTTTAAGAAGTCCCAAGAGTGAGCATAAATCACTAGTAACATTTCAGTTGAGTTCATTCAGTTTCTTGCTTGATTAACAAGGCTTTGCATATTTCATCCTGTTCAATGTTAAGTTTAACGGAAGGATAGACTAATGATGGCAACACATTAACAATGAATAAGGATTCTGACATCAATGTTGGGATTTCAAAGATATACCTGCCAACTCTCACTCCTTAGGTGTGAGTCTCACGCCTGCGGGTTGAAAACTTCGACCTCATGCCGGCTTACACTTGCAGGCTAATTTCTCATGCCTGATTGAAAAATGTGAGTTGTTGCCGTCTTGCTTGACACAATTTCCAAAAATATGTTAACTCGGACCCATGTAAGGAACGAAAACCATGTGTAAAATGAAGAAATAACAATACGTTCCTCGTGGTCTCTGATTTTTGAAGTGAAAAGCACTGGGAGCAAGCTCGCGTTTATACGCGTCCTAAGACTGGGACTCGATAACTTCGCCTTCGGCAGACTTCGGATGTCTTCGGAAGTCTTCGGACTTCTTCAGAAATTATCTTCGGAAATGATCGTGTCATCTTCAAAAATCCCAGCACTCCCAGGATAAAAATCTCATGCTTATATCTCAGAAAAAGTGGGCAGGTATACAAAGAGTGATATGGATCTGTAGAAGGCAATGATATTTTTGCCGAAAGCATATTAGTTTTGTTGATCTTGGTACAGTTTGAGAATAAACGCCTCTCTCTTTTAAACACCTGCTATCTATTGAAAATTAAATAGACGCCCCAGGCCTTTATTAGGTCATTTACGGTATTTGCAGTTGTTGGTGGAATTAAAAGATGTACAACCCAATACAATACAATAACTTTTGTTTCAACACAACGGTGATTAAAGCGTTGCCGCTTATAGGGTCATGCATATAAGGTAACTAAAACTTAATAAAAGTATATTAAAATCGTCTTAATAATATAAAAAAATTATCATTGTCATTGTTAGGCATTGTTTGTGGAGACTTTGTTTTCATACAACCTTTTCTGCTTTCATTGTTACAACAATTTTGTCCTTATGTGAAACTAGTACCTTTTCAGCTTAATTTCCATATTAAGAAAAGGAAGATGATTTGTGACAAAACAAGGTCAACTCCAGCCTTGCAGGAGTCATTCAAATGCTTAAGGTACAAGCACACAACTGTAAATTAATGTTCAATTGACTGCTGGAAAAAAAGGCTTTTAAATTCTTACAAGCATGCATTTTTGTCTTCCACAAGTTTAGAAACCTCTTTGTGTAAACAATAAGCACTTTATTTATAAAAGTGACTCCGGCCTGTGGGGGAAAACTGTGACTTTGGATAGATTATTGCAATGAATGCCCATTGTTCTTTTTTTGAGCTCATAAACAAGAGATAAATTCCACTGAGTAAATAGCCTGCATGGCAGATGCAAAAAGAGGAGGGGGAGGGGGGAGGGAGAAAAGTGCGAAAGCCTCTCCCTTTTTCCCTTCCTCCCTATCCCCTCTCGACGCCTGCTATGCAGGCTACTGAGTAAATGGCGATGGCTATATGTGTATCGTCCTCTCTTTGTTTTCCCACGACCCTCAAGAAACAAAAATTGAGGTATTGAACCAGTCTAGCATTAAGTGTTTGTGATAAATTCCAACTCAAAACCAAAACAACTCATGTTATACATGGATCATTCAACAGTTTATAGAGAAATAAAACAAGTTATGACTTTGACATAGATTTCCTGCAGTTTCAAGGAATGGTCACGTGTGAGTCTTGAGGGTTAGTGAGAACATAGAAAGTTAGATTTTTTGACTCACAGCATGTGTGCGCTCCTAAAAATCAAGGCAGTCAGTCTTAGGTGTGAGCACATTATTATGGAAATGTTCCTTTTAAAGGCTAGTAATTTAAAGATTACGTAGTTAATGAAGAAGTGTTACACTTTATACCTTGGGACATTAAAGATAGAATGTTTGCTCAGCTCCAGAAAAAAATCATAAGGACTTACTTAAAAAAAAAAAATAAAATAAAAAGATTTACCCCTGGTGTTGTCACGAGCTATTTGGGCGAAAGAAGGCAAAACTACCCAACACCCTGTTAGTTGAGCACTATGCTGGTAGAGTGACACTGCCCTATTGATCAACTTATATCTTCTGCTTCCCAAATCCTCCTGGTTTTTGTGGCTTGTCTTCCCTCATTTCTTTCCTTTTCAATGACAGATAAACTGGCACTAAAGATGATTGAGCTTTACCTTACCCATACTTAGACCCAGTTCAGATGCCAACCTTTCCATGAGCTGAACCTAAGTTGAATTAAGGCCGACTCAGATAATTTAGACAGGCTGAATTGTTTCAGACGCCGATCTTAATTCAAGACAAACTAAATTCAAAAGGAGAAAAATGTTCATTTTGGTCAAACTCTTTACTAAATACATTATAATAACTTTTGCATTTGATTCGGTACATGAAAAATTCGGCATTAGTATCAAAGCTGTTCCAAAGTCGAAATTCCCAGCTGGGCTAGGCAGGAAGAACCGCTGAGCCAATATTCCAAATTGAAACAGGTGTTCCTAATTGATTCAGACGTCAAACTTTTCATGTACCTAATTCAATGTATCTCATTTGGCTCATGAAAAGTTTGGTGTCTGAACGGGCCCTTAAGCACCATACAGCAAAAACACACACTTATTTAGTTAGAAACCTAAAATAGTGTATGCTGGGTTAAGTTTCAGAGAGTATATTGGAAAGCACGTTCCACAAAAATGCCATCTAATGTGTCGAGCCATGCTAATTGTGGGTAGAGCAGATAATAATTTGTACACATTTCATGATGAAATAGAAATATAAAATTAATGATAGTCATAGATAAGATCACAGAATTACCAAAATAACAGGTATGAGGCAAGCTGTATGAGTTTAATGATTTTGTGACTTATTGATAAAAATGATTTAAAAGGTGAAACATGGGAAAAAGAATGGTTTTCAGAAGGCCAACTCAAGTTGGATTTATGGTCACCTATCCATCGCGAGAAAACACTAGCCATGCATTTTTAGTTGATATACATACACAAAGAACTTCAAAGCGGAACAAAAAAAGGAATTGCATCTGTTGATAGATGTAAACGTAATATCTTTATTTATCTTTTCATATGGCCAATACTTAAACAGTGTACATAGGCCTTGAATGGCAAAATAAAATGATGAAAGAGAGACTGAACATCTTGAAGGCTCTTATTTCGATATTACAAACTCTTGTCCCTTTTTTAATAAAAACTGATCTCAATGACTTGTCTGCCATAATACAACATAAAACAGACAGCTTTTTTCCTTCTGAGGAGAGAAGTTGATCTAGATCAAATCAAAATCTTCTCTGTGTTTTGTATCAAGTTACTACATCACTAGCCTAGGGCTAAGCTATCAGCTATCAACATCTCAAGGATAAAATCTTTTTGCTTAATCTTCCTGGTTTACACAAGTTTTTTAACTATATGCAAAGCTCAAATATAGGGAGAATCTCAAATGAATGATAGAAGAATGTGATGGAAATCTTGATTGGTATCATCTGAATTCATAAATGGGTTGACTGTGATCCGGGACATGTACAAGATTTAATGATTGAAACCTAACAGAGAGAAGGAAAGAGAGAAAAAAAGAAAAACAAGGATTATGCTACAGTCGAATCTCCGTAATTTGTACACCAATGAAAAGAAACAGGCATCCATGCCATCGCAGAAGGATTATTGTATTTAACAATATATTAATACTTTTACAAACATACATACATAAACTTTATTTACACTTGAATTTTTGAGTAGCTTGCAGTGTTCTCCCTAAATTCTAGCTCAGCAGGTAGGGGACCATTCCTGACCGGTAAGGCAACAAATATATACCAGAGGCACACTTTCCTGGGGGAGGGGGGAAGTGAAGTGAGGGACATGGCCCCACCCTCCTAAGGAAGTTTTTGGGAGTTAAGTTGTCTGAAAAATCATTCTCACAATTAAAGACTTTTTTTTTTTGGCTAATCCGCTTTTGTAAGCTATTGGCCACCTATCGGCCTTCCAATCTGAGGTTAACCCCCCCTTTTGTTTTTTACAGTAATTATAGCATTGACATCTTCTGAGAGAAAAACAAATTGTGCCATCATTATCATGGTCTATTAACAATTATTCCACGAGGGCGCGTTGGATATGAGATGATAGATAGCCAACGAGGCGCATAGCGCCGAGTTGGCTATAATCATTTCATATCCGACAAGCCCGAGTGGAATAATTGTTTTATTAAAAACGCCCACAAAATTTCGTTGAATAGCCCTGACTCGAACAAACCGGAAAAGACAAGGGACTTCCGCTATTGACATGTCACACGTCTATCAAAACTGTCAACGCGCGAACCGGGCTCGCCTTAGTCTGCTACACAGCCGTTTTTAGTGTCATCACGCAACACTCCTCCACACTAAGGGAGGAACGTTGCGTGACGACACTAAAAACGGCTGTGTAGCAGACTAGGCTCGCCTAGACTGCATGAATGAAAAATCAAAACATTGTGCGATGAACATTAGTTTTTTAAAAACTCATCGTGATTCTAGGATTTTACACAGCAGAACAGCTTAAAAAACCTGGCAGATAATGTGAAGGAAAGGAATTTTTAAGTGACAGCCGTCGAAATTACTATGAATTTGGATTTTCGGTGCAGTTATAAAAGTAAGAACAACGGAGAAAAACTACCGGTATTACCTCGGTCGCTTGTTATGAAGTTGTTTGAAGCCACAAGCTGGTTTTGCTGAACGAGAAAAGAAGCTATACTGCCGCCTCGATTGCTCTAGTGAATAGCAGCATAGCCTGTATTTGTAGCTGGTTACTTGTGATTTATATTCTTGATGTCGGATAAACAAGCTGCAGTTATCTATCGGCGAGTGACTCAATCGGCGAATGGCTTCGCGATCATGAAGAAACAACACTTGTCTTCTTTCGTCGCTGGTCAAGGTACTTTAGTTCCATGTGTTTTCATGTGTTTTTCGACAAACTTTCAAACAAGCTCTTGTGGCTTTTTTGTTTGTTTTTGTCTTTTTTCTTTCGTTGAAATTGCATTTCTAGTATTCTAAGAAATGAATTAAAACGATTTGCTTCGAGCGCCGTTCTATCCTTCGCGAAAAAAAATCTCAGCTAGCTTCCAATTTTAAACTGACGCGTACACCGACCATATATGGAGAACATGGTATATTAGCTCATATACCATAATGGCTAAGCCAATCAAAATGCTAGAATTGCATTATCCAATGATTCAGTTTTTAATAAAATGTTATAGACCATAACTCTCGGCCAAAACAGCTTTATTTCATTGAAACTTCAAGTAAGTAATACAGGCCCTCTGGTAAAGTGCAAAAAATTATGTGGGAGTTCCATGAGAGTCATGAGGAACCTTAAATTAAGATGGCTCAGAAAAAGTCCTGCCCAGTGGTCCAAGACAGGTAGAGCTTTAAAGCTTACTTTCCCAATGGGCTAGGGCCCAAGCAAGACATCCTTTATCAAAATCATTTACTTACGTAGCGTTCACACTTGGTGCCTGAGCATGGTGCCTGTGTACAATACTCGCTGGGCACTAATGTGAACACACCCTTTTTTCAAGTACCCAAGCTAGAATTCGGGAACGGTGCCAGTGTCCGAGTTCGAGGTTCCAAAGTGGGCACCAGGTGTGTGTGTGGACACCCTTTTTGTTAGTTCTGGGGCAGTCTACAGCTTTGCACTCACTTCTAAGCTCATGTCTCAAAATGGCATCTGACAGGGAGAAATGGAGTAACTATGCACACAGTTGCATATCGGGTGCTCAAGGTGTGAACGCAACACCAGTTTGTGTTGGTACGCAGGCACTGGTCTCCGAACACCAAGTGTGTACAGCCCCTAAGACGAGCAAGAAGTGGCCGTGGGAAAGCAAAAAGTGTGAGCTGCTTGCCCAAAGGACAAGCTGAAATTCTTCTATCCCTGTTAAGGTTTTTAATTTTTTCCAGATCATGCATTAAAAAAAGGGAAGAATTCTTGTGATGAATATGAAAACATACCAATGTCTGAGAGCTGTTGATAAAGTCCACTGTTTTAGTCACTTTCTTGACTTTCACTGATGTTTTAAAACAAACTTTATAAAAAATATAAAAACCTACCATTCTGAACTCCGATGATAATAATACCCTTCAATTGTGGCTGCGGACTTTTGAAGGCACACGTAGTAAAAACCAGCAAATGATGCCCCATTTATATCTGTGATAGTGTGATCTGGAACAAGGAAATGTTCCTGTACACAGAAGAAAGTGGAGAATTGGCAAAGAGAATAATATTGGATTATGTAAAAATTAAAATGATTAAGCATTTACTTTTCTCAGCAAATATTCATACACGATGGCACTGCAAGATCAGCTCACCTATTTTGATTTAGGGGATAATATTAAAATGTTGAATTAAATTAGGGGCTTCTACATATACATATATGGTACAAGAAGCAGAAGCCCTTAGAAGTCAAACTCCAAGATATCACTTTAAATCCAACCCCAAACCACTCAAGACACAAAAAGACAAAGACTGGAGTTCAGATTCACTCAAGCAACCACATTATTACCAGTTTAAAGCCCAAACTGAAAACATGACATGATTAACCTTTAACTTATAGGCATTACATTTTACCTTTTCTCTAATAAAATTGCATAGACTAGGTTTTGGTATATATGTATTTACGCATATACTTCTAGTTGCAATGTTTTTTGTGTTGTGACCAAACACAACAAAGATCAGGACAGGTGAGCAAGGCACAAAACCACAAACTACAGGTATGTGCTTGCAGAGTTTTTTTTTCATCTGATTGGCTTTTTCCTAATGAGACAACAGTATTCCAGTTCTAAATATTTCTGGTGTTAACAGTTTTCTGGGTTTCACAATAAGTAAAGTTAGGAAATAATACCTTCAAATAATATTGTAAACAAGACCTCCATAATGGGGTACGTTGGCCTTTGTCCACACAGGCAGCCCAATAATAATGATTTTTTTTTCAAAATGGAACTGTTATTTTGATGCTCAACTTGCAATGCTAGTGCATACTGTACATTACTGACAAAGGTCGGCTGATCTATGAGACATCTTGATGTCTGTATTAACTACAATGTTTCACAACTAATGCATCCGTATCCCTAAATATTTACCTTCCATCTCATAAAAACGAAGTCTAAGTTGTCCAGCTGACTGTATTCAAAATTATCCGAGTTAAAATTTTTTGCAAATTGGTAAAATGCCAGGAACTTTCCCTGTTTTGAAAGAATGAAAAAAAGATGTTAATATACGTTGTTGCTTTCTCAATCACGTATGAAAAATAAAAGCTAAGCTAATTAGATAATAATACCACAATACCACAAATAATAATACAAGTTGAGGCAGCCTATATTAAAGGGACAGGTTCACTGTTCAGCACATGCTTACTTATCAAAATGCTGTTTTTCTGCAGGGGCATGCTGTATCGTCTATGCAAGCAATATGATCATGTCATGATGTTGTCAAAGAACCAATCTGCACACTCCCCTGGCAGTCACTTGATCAACCTTCGGGCCAACAATAAATTCAACGTTGGTAGGGTTGGCATAATCCACTAATTTTTTCTGCGATTTTAGTACTCCTCCATCCTACTTCAGGTTACTCTGAAATACACTCTGATATTGCTGAGATACATGAGAGTGGAATTATTCACCGATAGAAATAATAATAAATTGGGAAAAAGTAATTTAATTAACGAGCATGCGCTTATCCATGAACCTGTCCCTTTAAACCAATCATTTGAGGCTTAATTTAGACCATTACCAGTCAAGTCACCAACAATAAAATATGGTGACAACTTAGAAAGTTACTTCTCTGTCAGCAAAATATTTATCAGCAAGTTCTATGAGACAAGAACAGTCTCAAGAAGGTTGAATATGAGGAACAAATATCATTCAAATCAAAGTTCCAAAATAAATTTGTATAGAAACCAAAATGATCAATTTGGCAATTACCAGTATTTTTTTTTCTACATAAAACTAAAATGGTCACCAAATATTTTAATTTTTACATGAAGCAATGAGTTTGGCATAAGTAACTTGCACCTTAGGATTTAGAACAAGACTCCTCTGAGACCAAATTAACTTGAATTGTCTGTAACTAACCTACACAGATAAACTATTTATTAAATGCAAAAATTAGTAAGTAACAGTTTATTACCCAGTGTTTCCTATCTACTTCCTCATCTGCATCCTAGTGATGAAAATAAAATATATAAATCATGAAATACATGATTGCACATCTACTATCATCAAAAGACAAATAATATTGTTTAAGAAAATAATATCGAACTGTATTAAATATAAGCAGTTTAATTATGGTCAATACCAATGGAAAAAAGACCAGGTAAGAACTTCATGTTATTAAGATTACGTTTTATCACTTTTCATTATCATTTATAAAATAACTAAGACAGTACACGCATTCTGATTGGTTAAAAACCTATGGTTTATTGTGCTAGTAAACTCATACTTTTACTTAAAGTTTTTTATAAAAGCAATAGACCACACTTTCTATGGGTTTAAATCACTCGCCTTTGGCTCGTGATTAACAAGCTTTTCTCGTGTTCTCTCAACATCCCGTGTGGGTTATCACGCCGGTAAACCCATAGAAAGTGTGGTATATTGCTTAAATAACTAAACTTAATACATTTCATGAGCTCCTCAGACATAACAAAGTTATCTCTTACCCATTTTCTTGTCAAAAAGGGATGCTTTTCTCCGATGATCTCTCCATCGAAAAAAGTTGTTAAATGAGGATATTCCTGAGGAAACAAAAAAAAAGGTGATTAAACTGCATGAGATTAGCCTCTGGTTGAAAATAATCAGCCACCAGTGATATGCAGATTTGAGGGCCTGGGGAAAGAGGAAATCTGAGACTTCCCTAGGTGCCACAACCCTTGTTTAAAATCTGAGACTGAAAGAGAAATTTCAAGACCCTGGAATGGAAAGAAGCACACAAAAACTGGACTTTGACACTCACTAAACAAGTTTGTGAGATCTTGAGATTGGAACAAAATTTTCTGAGACCCGACTTCTGCCTTTTTTTCACGTGACGTGGTAAAAGTAGATGCATCTTACCCTTATTCTCACAAAAGACATTGAGATAAACGGAGGGTATGATCCCCAGGGAGGTACTTCCTGGAAATAGGTTAATGGGGATGTGCTGCTGGATGGGGTCGCATAATTTCACAACCAGATTGACTACAATGGGGTTGTGTTTTCAAGAGAATATCTAAAATGGGGTTGCACATTTTTACGATTTGGAGGGTCAGAAAATTCAGGTAGGTAGGGATTTGAAAATGACAAGATGTTTACTATATTAAGTTTAACAAATGTGTCATTTCAATTCAGAATGACTTAGTTTAAAGGCTGATAAGATAGATGCATAAAAAGAAAGTGACTAAGTCAGGATTGCGAAAATTACATAATTTGCCCAAAGGTGACAATGGTATGGGATCTATAATTGGCTACATAGAAGAGGTGCTATAATGGGGTAGGGGTTATGGCTGGCCAGCAGCATACAGGGTTTGTACAAATTTTTGGATCCAAAATTCAAGACTTTTTCCAGATTTTTTTCCAAAACAATAATTTCTTTTTCCAGACCAGACTCAAGGTTATCAAATAGCTGATCAATAGAGACCTAAAAAAAAAAAGGAACAAAGCTTTTCTCACGATGCACAGCAAATGTGCGGGCGAGATTGGATAAGATTTGACCAAAGAAAACAAAATTTCCCTTACAAACCACTTGTTGTACTTATGAAAATAAACTCAACACTTTTCACCATTTTTCCAGACTTCGTCTCCACTCTCCAGACTTTTTCCAGGTTTGGAAAATTGCTGGGCAAATTTCAATGCTTTCTCAAGAATTCAAGACTATGTACGAACCCTGAGCATATGACCGGCAAAAAGTGACCCAAGTAACCTCCCGGGTATGATCACAGGCTGTAGTAACATTTGGACAAAAAGGATGGATCTCTCCTTTAGTGAATAGCATCCTAAATCTTTGTGAACTCTAACCAAATCAACACCTCAATTCACAATGTAAGGTACTTTGATTTTACTTACTGCAGGTTCAATAAATGTAGTAAACCAAAGCAGTGACAAGAGTCAGTTTAGTGTAGAAAAGGAGAAGCGAGGCGATATATAAGAAAACGTAGAAAGATACAAACTAATGACCATATGATCCTTTCATAATTTATATGAAGAATCTTTCCAGACGTCTGTTGTTGTTCACGACAATCCTCACATCGCTAAACAGTACAAAATTTTTTTGACAGGAGTACTATACAACAGGAAGCGTATGTACTATAAACATGTGTATTTTCCCTAAAATCTTCCAGGGAGGATAAATTTGGAAACAGGTTAAATAAAAGTATCGAAACTGACACAAAGCTAGCAAACCTTTGGCATAAAGGGAGTACTTTGTATAGCTTACGTTAAAATTGTATAGCTAAGCACAACATAGAAATCTGTATTCTACTTTATAGTACTTACATCAGTTAGTCCTTTAATTTTTAGATAACCACAAAGAAACCCTTTCTCTTCTTCTACGTGCTGAAAGAAAGCCACATAATTGAAAGGAAACTCTTGAACTAAGGCATAGAATATTTCAGACGACAAGAAGGCCGCCAAATGCAAACCGGCGGGAAATGACACGAACAATCACGCGAAGTTTACCTTCAACACAACTTCAACGTCGTATCGATTTCCTTTACTTTTTTGGTGTCCCTGAAACCTGCTACCACTGTACAACAGCGACTGAGCCAAACCAGGCTGTTTCGTGCCTGGGGGAAGGGGATTCAGGGCAACTTTCCCCGGCATTTCGAGAGAAGTTTCTTCGAACGGTAGTCTTTTGAACTTACAAACGCCAGCCTTTGGCACTATGGGTAACAATTCTATTGCGAAATTAGTTCCCAGTCTCTGACTGGCGGTTTAACCAACTTTGTAATACAACTTTGGCTTACGGGGTAAAGTGCAAAAAGGTAAGAACAAAAGTTCAGTTTTCCTTCATTTACAGAAATATTGATTTTACCCTACCATCTGATATATGTTTTTAACTTGAAGGAGGAGTGATCTACCAGCAAGAACCAACGTCAAGGGAATTTCCGGCGTTTGAGTGGATACGAATTAGCCGGAAATGAAACATTTCTGTGGCACGGGGCAGTGGGGATTACGGCGGTTTCGAATTCACTTGAAGTGCTTTTTTGCTTATCACCTGGCCGCTGGGAAAGCATTCTAAGCCAACACCCTCGTTTACCCTACGTTGTTATTCATTTATTAACTATTTGATTTATTAAGCGACAGATCGAGTTTCTTAAGGGTTTTTAGCTTGTTTTCGTTATTTTTCGTTTGTTTTCGTATAATTATTTTTGAACTTCCGTGCTTTGTTGGAACATGCTTAGTGAATGAGGGCAGAGACTGTCAAGCCGTGTAGCCTTCGTATAGGATAGGCTTTTCAAAGCATGAGCCATGGATCCTACCCAGATTTTGGGGTTTTTTCCGGCAGTTTTTTTCTGTCCTCCGTCCTGACAGTATTCTTTGTTAACTGTCGCTCAGCTCTGTTCTAGATTATCTACCACATGTTTGAATGTAATAGAAGTTGTCGTATAACGTATTGTTATATCTCTCGGTGCTCGGCCGAAACAGCCAAAATAAACCTACTGGTTTTTCGATGCATGGTGTATTGCGTATTTTACAATAACTGAGCGAATCCTCGCGCGCTGATTGGTCGAGAACTATGGCCTACGGGGTATAGACCAGCCCCCCCTTTTGTAAAAAGCAAATCGACTACAATTTTCCATGGTCTACGCTCTTACTGACCATAGAAATGACGCCATAAAATGTTCAAAACTTTGAAGTGAAACCACTCGCCCGCGGCTCCACTTGAGTTTTGAACATTTTATGACGTCACTTCTATGGTCAAAAAGAGTGTAGGCCATGGAAAATTGTGGTCGATTTGTTAAGTGGAGCCGAAATCTTGAGTTTTCCGGATTCGGATGTGGTGATTTGTCGTCAGAATTATATAGCCTGTTCACGGATATGAGTATTTTCAAGGGAGAATGTGCTCTTTATCTCTTAATATTTTTTAATGGCAGTAGGGAAAGTTCATATTTCCTTTTACTGCCAACCTACGAGAATTTTTTTTAACATCTTTCATCTTCTAGTACGATCTTTACTGCCTATTATACATTCTCTCTGGCCAACAGTGATGCTTTTCTCCGAGCAAAACAGAAACTGTCATGATTAAGCGGCAAATAGCGGTACGCAGGGAACCTCGGAAAGTTCACTCATAATTTTTTTCCTTCCTCCAGTCTCCCTGCCACTTCCGGGGGGTACTCAACAAAGTTTTTATACGAGGAGGCTCTGCCCCCAGGGTCCAACCCCTAAGCCTTTTATATACCATTTTTGACTAATCAGGGGCGGATCTAGGGGGAGGGTGCAGGGGGTGGTGTTGAAGTAGAGCAAGAGACGAGTGCACCCCCTCCTAAAAAAAATCCTGGATCCGCCCCTGCTAATGGTACCCCCTTCACATACCTAGGTAAAAACTTCGCATCCCTTTTAACTGCTGAAAATGCACTGTATTAAAAACATTAAAAGATTGACAACATCACAGTACTCTGAGTGACACGTCGTTAAAAATGCTTCACCCCTTTAAATTATCCCTAAATCTTTGGAAACCTAGGTTTTAAAAAAGAGATAGAGTTTAAAACGGTAAAGACACCACACAAAGAGGGAATAATTTTTGCTGTTTTATAAGCGAACTCAAGAGTTATACCCGAAGTATTAACTACACTTCGCTCGGTTAATAAATTAAACGTCGTGGAAGGTTTCAGATGCGGCTGCCTAGTCTGAGAAAAAATTGAATGTTAGAAAACGCTCTGGGATTAAAATAAGCAATTTAGAAACTTGCAGTAAAAGTATCAATGTCACTAAAACTCCGAGCACGTAACTGAGATAAAATGCGAAACAAACCACTAACTGAAAAATTGCAAATAGCTACTCATATAAGTGTGTAGTCTTGAAGTCTTCTGACGCGTTTACCTGGGCTAAGAACGCAAGGAAAAATATTCACTTACAAACGACTTAAAATTTAAAATACGCAATAAAAACCCGAAATAAGACCTAATTAGACGATGCAACAAATACACGTTAAAATCTGAAATAAGAAACCCTAGAGAAATTACGAATAGCTTCTATTATATAAGCGGGTATTTTCCAATCACTTTTTGCCTGTTCTTTCCGAGCTCGTTGACGCTTGCGCACTTGCCCCCTCTCTGCCTTTGTCACGTGATAGCGCAGACCCTCTGCCGGGCCCGCGGTGCTTGATTTTCCCGCCAACAAGAGGCGGAGGATGTACCGTAGGGTCTATCCGCTGGATTGTACCCACAGCCTTTGTTCTCCCTTCTCTGAATATCATCCGCGTATCCGGTTTAACAAATTCCGGTTGTTTTATGAAACGGAACCGAACCATCGCTTTATCTCCCGTCCTTAAATGGTCTTTATCCATGTGTATTATTGTTGCTGTTTGTCGCATGCTTCCACAGTGTACTGAAAAATAAGATGGGCACCGGCTTCATTTATCAAACCGAAAAAACACACAGAATATGACAACAGGCCACCTTTCGATATATTAAAATTCAGCATGATAGCGAGTCTTAGAGGACAGAAACAAAGAAATGAATAAACCATGATTATTCATGTTTATTCATTTTCTTTGTTTGTGTCCTCTAACACTCGCTATTATACTGAATTTTAATATATCGAAAGGTGCCTATTACAGAGTTGCACTACATTGCAGACGTATTCTCGGCTGTCGCTTCTCTCCGTCCGAAAAGAAGAGAAAACTAGAATTACGTCTGCATTTAAAGGGTACACAGCGTTGACAAACTGAGTTTTATTCAACGAGAGAGGAACTCGGCAATAAAAGATCAGGTGACAAGAACGCGTGGGTTTCCTCTGACCACAGATCAAGTTTATAGAGCGACAAGGAGTAAAAGGCTTCAGAACATCCTGGTAATCTTCAACTAAAGGCCACAGCTATTTCTGGAAGTAAGCGAACTTTGTAATCGATAATCAGTGTTGTCAAGTCTATTAGGGCGTGTTCGATTGACCGTATTCCAGAATAAGAATACATGGAATTAACTGTTGAAATCACTAATTTTGGCGTTCAATAAGCACGATACAAGGGATTTGCAGCAAAACTTTGGCGTATTCTTATTCGGGAATTCGACCAATGGAACGCACCCTGCATGTATTTTCAGTCATACTAACCCATAGCCTGGTATTTTGTACTGATGGTCGTCGGATGGTGAAGTACAAGAACTTCGGCTTCGAACTCCCAGCATGCTTGGGGCTTGACTTGTTTGTCAACCATTACCATTCCTTTTCTTATCTGTGATCGTTTGATCTGAAGTGAAAAGTGGAAATGGCTAAATTGTAACTTGGTAATTCAGTCCTCCTCTCGTCATCTCGATGATGTCAAGAGCTTTAAAAAGTGAATTCGCGCTGCCTCAAACTTAATCGCGCTTATTCCATCCCGTTTAATTCGTCAAATGTTAGCAAATTTCTTTGGAGTTGAATTCTAAAGGACTGTATCAAAGTTGAGGAAACGAGAAAGGAAATTGTTTTGTGTTCCCGTCCTCGACAAAACGTGAAATTACGCATTTTCACGTCGACGGCAAAAAAATGTACAAAAGAGCGTGATGCACGTGCAAAGTTTGCGATTTTGCCAATCTAAACCTATTGGTTTTTTGCCGTTCTCGTTGCTGTCGCCGTCGTCGTTGCTTGAGCTCCCTAACTGTTACGAGTTACCGACGTTAACCTTTATCTTTATGCCGTTACTTCAGTGGTAAATTTATATGTTATGGTGAATACAGAACAAACCTTTTTCAATGCAAATGATGCCGTCTGGCCCGCTCTAAGCTCTCTCACAGGCATTCTCTTACGATGAATTGTCTTGACTTGGATTGGCTGAAACTGACCTAGGGGGTCTGGGCCGAGTAACAAGGTATCATTTAATCGAATGGTTCCTCGGAGACACGTGCCGGATACCACTGTACCAACACCCTGAAAATTACAAAAACAACCTTTTTGACTGATTCCATTAGCCTTAAGCCTGAAACAATTAAAATGTCACGAACTGAGATGCTTTGGAGAATTAGCACACATTACGGGAATTAAAAAGTTACTTCGAACGCTGGCCCTTCGTTGACGTTAATTCCGGCTTTTTTACGATGGCCAATAATCAACCCAGTTCATAAGATCAAATTCTTGTGGTTCACTCTACCACCGATATGCATCAACCTTTCTTTCGAAGTTTATCGATTACTGCACAGAGTGAATACAACTATTTGACGCTTTAGCAATATTTTCGCGGCACAGTTTTAACTTGCACACAAAACCACAAAGTTTGATAACCAAGTTCTTTTATTTAAAGGGGCTGTGTCACAGCAGTCCAGTTCATTTTGTTTAATTTTGTCAATGCTCGCCCTCAATCGCTGTGAAACTTAAAGTAAGTAAAGAAATTACATGTAAATAACAAAATCAGAGATCCGAGACAAACAAATATGTCTCCTGAGCATTATTTTTAAAGTTGCAAGTAGCAGGGATCAACTTTGAAAAACTGTTAGGCTGAACAGTTTTCAAAAACCCTAATTTCAATCCGTTTCAATCTTCTTCAGTTTTGCCCATCCGTGGCATCTGTTGTTTCTGTTATGTTATTTTAACCTTCCTTTAAAGTTTTAAGCAGTTGTTTTTATGTTTTTCTTAATTTAACAGGCATTTTGTAATTTCCTAATTTGGCTGAATTTCGTGACACAGCTCCTTTAAAGGTAAACCCACTCTGACTTACCGGAACTGAATAGGTGTCATCGATCTGGAACTCAGATGGTTCATCCCTCTTAAAATGAGCGCGAATAGAAAGTAAATTAAGGAACATCTTAAGCAAGTCCAGATTTTCTCCTGTCACATTGGAAATCTGAAAAATCGGACACACCCTGGGGAAAACAGCGAGAAACATTTGTTCAAAACACCTCACTAAAAAAAACAACAACCAACAAACAAAACAACAACAACAAAGTACAAATTTATCCCAGTCAAAGCATCATAGTTTGCAGCTCTGATAAGCAACCATTTCTCATAAAAGACCGCAACCACTTTTTGGGGTGACTGATCTTCCATTACTGAGCCACAACACCTTTCTATAAGTAACCGTCAACTATGGGCATTTTAAAGAGTCGCTTACAGGCGATACAACTGCATTATGAATGCAGTCAAACCTGTATCAAGCGATCTCGTCTGAATCAAGCAGTCATTTACCAAAGTCCCGGAAATCATTTCCCTGTAAAACTGACCTGCATTAAGTGGTCACATCTATTAAGCAGTCGTGGTCACCTTTTCCGAGGTGACCAACTTCATTCCTTTAATACCAGAAATTCAAATACTTCCTACTTATTTCCTGCACGAACAAATATAAGACTTTTTGGTTTAAGATTGCAGGGTCCAAAAGCTTTCAATTCACTTAATCACAATATACAAAGTGCTGCTACTATCTCTCTTTTGAAATCCAGATTGAAAACATTTCTCCTTAGCTGATTCACCTCTTGCCACTTATGTAATTTACACCACTTTTAATCTTTAACTATCATTTTTGTAATATATTGATTGACTCTATACTTTTTTCTGGCAAAATAAATAAACTGAAACTGAAAAAAGCTATTCACTCACCTCTCGGAAACAAAGTTTGTTGCTGACACAACAACATCATCAGGGTTTTGTACAATAACAGGGATTTTACGGCAACCAGGAGATTTGAGAATCCTGGTCAGGAGTTTCATAGTATCTTGTAGCACATTTGCAGGGCACATGTCAATCTTGGTAACAACAACAAACACTGGGACATTCAGTGCAAGGGCCAGGCCAAGGTGCTCTAAACAAAATAAGGCCAAATTGTGTAACAACCAACCAAGATCTCATAAGGAATATTGTTTCAGTAAAATATAATGACCTTAAAAAATTCCCACTGCAACCTTTGCAACATAGACAGATTTAATGCCTTTTGTTTTCAGAGGAAGAAATATTGCTTTTAAAAGAGAGAAAGGGAAATCAACTGTCAAATTTGAGGGGTAACATTGTTTTCCCTAAAATTCAAGAGATAACATTCTTTTGCCTTTAATTCCTTTTGCAGAAAATATTCATTTTAATTCAAAGCAAGAATCTTTAAAGGCACTTTAATGATATTAAAAATTAGAAAAATCTTTGAACAGTGCTTTTCAGACATTTTTATGACTATAACAACTGCAAGCAGGATTAGCTCTGTAGTAGAGTGCTTGATTGTCGAGGGTGGGGGGTCAAGGGTTCGACTCCCAGGGCCAGACTAATTCTCTGGAGTTAAATAAAAACTATAAAATGAAGGTTCTGCCTCTGCCTTGAAAATGGAGAGACCTTCGCTTGGCGTGGATGACTATGTGAAATGGCGGTTCCCACTCTTACCTTTTGTCATTCCTATAATTCCTGCATTTGATCCAATCTATGAGGGAAAATTAGTGTAAAGGAAACTGTAATTTAATATAGTAAACATTACTAACTGATGGCATTTTAAAAATTGAATTGCAGAGAGGAGCAACACTGATATCATGGATTTAGAGTCCAGTTGAATTTGTTAAAAACTTCTTTGTCAAAGTCTCACTGAGGATAACTTACTCTTTAGTAAATGGGTGGCAATGTAGAAGTGTCATTGATGTGTTGAAATACATATCTGTTTTTTCACCTTGACTCTCTCTAGAATGAAAAGAAATATGGTCCAGGTTGTCTCTTCCCACCCAGGTGTAGAAGTAGGTACCAACGAACCAGGGAGAATAATATCTAGAAGAACAAGGTCTTTTCTAGATGCAGAAATTCAGTTTAAAATCTAGCTTTTTGGGCCATGACTATGCTTTGACTGGGAACCCCTAAATGCCTTCATTTACAGTTGTTCCCTGCATTACGGATACCCGCTTAATACAGACATCTCATTATTACGGACAGTTTGCTTTGTCACCGGGACTTGGAATTTTTTGGACAGCCCAATATTATATACAGACACTTTCTATGGCCCCCTCAGAGGGTTGTCCAATACACCCGCACCGTAACGGTCTGTATAAGCCATGTGTCGATCTGTACCGATCGATGAGATGCACGCTCCGTATGTCTACAGACTGTACAGATCGAACGAACCGTAACGCTTTGTGCCCTGATGTAATAATGAGATGCAGGCTACGTAAGTCTTCGGACCGTACGGATCGAATGAACCGTAACGCATTGTGCTCTCATGTAATAATGAGATGCACGCTCCGTATGTGCTCAGCATACGGACCGTGAGTAATAGTGACGGTTTGTGCAGAATGTACGGTCCGTTAACTGCTCTTAACGGTCCGTAAGAGTGCGGCAGTATTGGACATGACTGACTGCCCCCTCAGTGTCTGTATCACTGGAGTTTGGCTGTACTCTTTCATCTGAAATATTTTATGTATGTCATTAACCTTTCAGTAAAGAAATAATAACATTATACATGCATGGTACATTTATAGGTTAGCCTCTGCCACAGACAGAAATTAATGGTAACTTCCGGTTAAGTCCGTCTGTGAACAGCACCCAAATCCTTCTTCTAGGCCCTCACCTGTGTACCAGGATTTGAGTACGAGCCATGATTGGCCTGTTAAAAATGCCATTCAGGTTGAAGGGAAATTTGAAACACATTTCCGTTAATTTATTGAGTCTGTTGGGATAGAACATGGAATGCAGGCAAGGCATAGGTGTGTACTTACCATCAACATTGCAAAGTCTGGAACATGTCCTGTCATGCCAAAAATGGTTGTTTTTAAGTATCTTTCATGACCTGCCAAATCAATGAATGTGATAACCTGGAAAGAAAAACAGCGTATTTATATTAATATGCTTGGTTATGAGGATGTCTTCAGTAGCAGATCGGGAAAAGGAGGTTATAGGCAAGTTTGGAAGCTTTTGGATTATTTATGACACATACCTTTGAGGACTTTTGACATATTCTGGACCAGTCAAGTCCGCCACCTGACAAAAACAAAAATGTAATAAGGAATTATGAATTTATTGTTACTTCTGGTTCCAGTTGTTCAAAAGATGGATAGCGCTATCCACTGGATAAATCACTATCCATGTCATGTACAACACTTCATGACTGGTAAGAATTTCTCTTTTAATCAGTGCCATAAACAAAGATTTTTGCTTTTTTTTCTTGGGAAATTTATTTTATAAAAGCAACAGAAAACTTGTTTACTGTGTATGCATAGATATAAACACTTGAGGGGTTGATAGAATTCTAGCTAGACTTTGTCTCGGGTTTGCATAACTGTTTCAAATTCTCCCAACACCTAAGCATGTTTATATCAGGCTATTCATACATGGAAGATGTTTTCTACTTTGCAAATGCTAAGGAAAAGAGGCATAGCCACATTTTATATGACTATCCCTTTCGCAAGCAAATGGCTTGAAAATTTACCATGACTATCAGGCTTGTTAACTACATCTCCCTTGCTGTCAAACCCAAGAATGTCATTGCCAACACTGCTGGTTCTGCCAGATTCCATTTCATGTTTGTGGCGAAACAACCTTTGTCTTGCCATTCCTCTTCCGTTGTCCAGTTCTCCATGGGTAAGTACTCCAAGTAAGGTACTCTTGCCAGCATCTACATTACCTACCACTGCAACTCTGATTAAAAGGGAGACAAATGATCCAGGTATTCTTCCGTAACTTCTTTAACTCAGTGAAGTAAGCTTTTGAAAAGTAAATGATTCTAAATGTTCACTGGAATTGGAATACTGGAGGCCAACATATATGTTGGTAAGAAATCAAACATTTCCATCAAAATGTCCACAAAAAGTGAGGTACCATTTCCTCTTAAATTCCAATGACGACACTATGCATCAAACATTCACTCACGATTGGCCACTGATGAACACCCTTCTTGTTTTATTTAATATCCTTTATGAAGTATTTCCATTTGTTTACATTTCAACTAGTATCCTCCAATGTGATGATTGCCCAAACAAAACACAATTTATGATTTCTTAGGTAGTCCTGCAGCAATAAACAACAGTTTTCAGCCCTATCCTAGGTAGGTTTCCATAGAACTCAGATTTGCCAATTCACCTACTCCAGCTTAAGTGCAACATGTCCCAGATCAAACAGGTACAGGCCCAGCAATTCCATCAAGGTTCATAAAGAATCCTTGTGGGAGACCACATTTCCGCATTGTAGAGTAGCCTGTTCGCCACTGCATGCTGTCTTGAAAACAAGAACTTTAACTAAATACATTATTTTAGTTATCAAAGTACTCACCTCACTTCCATGAAATCATTCTCATCTGCCCTGACTCGCACTAAATACTCTGCAACAGTACCCTCTTCTGCTGGTTTCTCTCTCAGCAAGACAACATCAGCATCACATGTTTCAGCTAGCAACTTTAAAGAATCTGCTGATGCTTTGAGATCTTCAGCACTGAGGCCGCTAGCTGTTCCATCTAATTTGGACATTGAAGAGATTATTGGAAGGTACAATTAACATTTGGTAATGTTTAATAAAAAAACATGAAACCAAAAAAAAATTGCACCATAACATGTGTAATACCGTAAACTGCCGCTTATAAGCCCATCCGCTTATAAGCCCCCCCGGTTATAGGCCCACCTACATGCAAACAAAAAAATACATCCAATTATAAGCCCATCCGGATATAAGGCCCCCTCCAGTTTTTTTGTTTTGAAATTAAACTGAATTCGATTAATTGCTGCCTTTTAAAGGCTTCAATAATATTGTAAGAGTAATAACTTTAAATCATACGTCGATCAACAGTGCTGTTGCTCATTTCGAAACGTTTTTTTTCGTCCACTTATAAGCCCATCCGGATATAAGCTCCCCCGTTTATAAGCCCACCCAAAACCCCTTACGAACTTGTTTAAGCCCAGGGCTTAAAAGTGGCAGTTTACGGTATTTCATTAATCACTGCACAAAAAATACCTACCAAAAATTAAAAGAAGAGTTGTTCTGTTTACATCTAACCCTTCTTTGCAGTGCAAATTTTACAGTACCCAACTCAAACACTAAAAGTAACCAACAACTTGTTTTGGGCATTGATAACTATATTGATAACCCTGAGAGAGGCTATGATATGATACAAACTCAGGTTTAGCCTCAGGGTTTTAGCCAGAAGGGTGTTCAGCCATCCTGTGGATGCTCATTTTGGAAGAAATACGAGGAAAATCCACTTAATCTCTTATAATTTGATGGAAAAACATGCCTTCTGGATGGCCAGTTTTCAATGTCTGGCTAAAAGCCTTTTTGGCCTGATTATACCTACCGACAACAGACTAAGATTCCCAATCAAAGTAAAAACTGGGAGGAACTCGTAAATGCATTGTAAAAGAAAAAACATTCATGTGATGACATGAAGTATTTGTGATCCTTCCATCTAAGTCTATTATCTATCTCAACTCCTAGGTATGGGTGGGATTTTACATTTTCTAGAAATTTGCCATAAAAGTAAAATTTTGCAAGAGGTGGTTCCCACTCAGGGGTTTCATTAAGCATCGGAGATCGGAGAATTCTCCGTCTACGACGCATAATTCTCCGCAGCTACGAGAAATAAAAATTTGCTATCAAACTCAGCAGGGTTTAAAACGCAAAATTTCCAGGATTGTTTTCAAGCTCTTTCCGGGAAAGTTCTTCGCTCTTTCAAAAATATTCTCCTGTTACTTTACACTATTCTCCTGCTACTGCTATTCTTAATGAAACCCCTGCCCACTTAAAAGAGACGCACCGACCCGAGTCCACAAAGTGAGTGAGTGACTCATTTCCATATCACATCCCACAGCAATAACTCCTGAAAATTGCCCATACGGGGATTTATGAGTTAAAAATGTGTTAACCCATAACAATTTGAATTCAATTGATGGTAATGATGATGATGATGACATTGATGATGATGATGATGATTATGATCACCATGGTGATGATTATAATGATAATCATGATGTAATTATGATGATTATGATGGTGATAATATCACTGACAACAAGGGTTACGTCAATAATAGCATGACATGACAATAATTCATAAAGCTAAAATGATTCACATAAATGTACAAGGGAACCAAACAGACTCACCTCCCACTCCAATTTCATATATAGTTTCTCCGTGCCCTTCTTCTAACCTCTCTTTAAGTTTATGGAGCAAAAGATCAAACTGTTCATCATTTGGGCTGATCAGAGCCACCTAAATGATTAACACCAATGTTTTCATAATTGCATGTATTTTTCAAACATAACTTTGGGATCTGCACATCAACAAGAACAAAAAAGAAGCCAAAAGGAAAGATAGTGAGAAATCATCTTGCAGATCCAAAACATTACAGTCCTGCAATAAATTGAACCTCCAGTCACATCTCTCTTTGTTGGTACGCCACTACTTTATTTAGCCAAAATACCAAACTTTTCCAGCCAGTGCAAAGCACTTGGAAACCCTCATAAGTGACCACTTCCTTTAAATTTCTTTGACCACTTTTTAGGCTGATTCTCCACTGTTTTCATCCTCTTGGAAGTGGCTACTTGACAAATGATTTGATCCCTTATGATAATACTACAATGTTATCCACCATGCAAAGACAAGAAATTTCTTCTTTCATCATCGTTCATACTAACGATATCCTGATATCTATGTCCAAAAGAGAGATACCAAACATAACTAAGGCACATCAGAATCAGATGTGCTTTGGATTTGGTGTGTTGGTTTTAGACATGAGACCTTACCCTTTGATCAATGGCATGTTCTGTCCCATTAAAAGTTCCATTTTCCTCAAGGTAAAGCTCACTTTCACTGTCTGGAGCAAACAGGTTTTCTGCACCATCTGGTGATGATCCTCTTTTTTTATTATTTAATGATGTCCCCGAAAATTTCTCTTCTACATTTATCGTTTCTGCTGCAGCACTCATTCTTTGACAGAGGGTTTGTGATCTGCATTAATTGAAAACACACAAGGAAATAAGTTATAAACAACAGAGTAGCCCAGTGTCAATTTAAACCTGTCCAAATTACAGCACTGTCTCAAATTTAACTTAGCCTAAATTTCATTTAGCCACATTTAAGACCACCATTATACAGGGTAGATACGATCAATAACTACAAAAGCTAGTGGCTATAAGGAGCCAAACAGTTATATGAGCCTATCATGCTCACCACAGTGAGCAATATAACATGTAAATCCACATTTTGTTAGAACATGTTTTGCTACCTTTAATAATTATGCTGACATGAGACATTATCAAACTTAGGCAATAACCCAGGGCACCACTGGAAAGGTTTACATGGAGAAAGGTCGAAACCAATTTTGAATCCACCAAGCAACTGGTATAAGCTTACTTTGAACAAGCTTACTTAAGAACAAAATCACTAACAGATATGCAAATGAAGACCATGCAGTCAAACAAAAGGTATTAAAAGCTAGCATAAGCTGTACATGAAAATAATCTCTTTTACGAGCAAACGTTGTTGCCTTTGATCTCAATTTACTACTCACCGTAAATTTTAAGCACGGCCACTCCTTGCTATACAGAGTCCATGGGTTTTTATCAGATAAACTGAGAAATAGACTGGTGTCCACGATTCCTGGACTTCAAGGCTAGCACTGATCTAGGTATTACCCTTCTCGCAACTTTAGCTCCACAACCTTAAAACTTCTGCACAAAATGGGAAGATCATAGAATATACCGTTGATAACTTAGGTGAGGAAATGTGGTGCAATCAACATCAAAACAAAACAAAACAAAAGATTGCGGCTCCTCTTGTTTCTCATAAATGATGTCAATTTCATCAGCCTTCACGCAAGCGTGCAGTTTTATTGTCCCCAGTCCCCGAAAAAGCAGGAAGTCAGATGTTTTTCCAAAAACGAAATCTTTTTTTCTGATTTTAAACGATGCGTTTTAAAATGCGTCAAATATTCGTTAAGCAAATCCCATATTTAGATAAAATCTCAAAAGAGAGCAGTATGGAAAATGTTTTTAAAAATTGAAAATTATGGAAAATTATCATCGGAAACGGCGCAGGCCCGGGGGCGCAGGCAGCGGCGTTGCATAAAAGAGGTAGGTCATTCATGTAAAATGATCGACATTTTATGTAAGTTAAAGATGGAAATATATCATGAACGTCAAAGACTGATGCTGTGTGCTGTTCACTCCTTGAACAATCTATTCCAGGACAGAAATGCATATAGTAAAGAAGATTTAGATGCCATTAGCTACCAGCTCAGCCCAGATTCCTTTGTAAATCCTCATAAAAACATGCTAGGTTTGGGAAATTATGATGTGAATGTTATGATGGTAGCTCTGCAGCAGAAGAACTATGAGGTTCTTTGGTTTGACAGGAGATTGTAAGTGTTTCCTTTGATTTTTGTACATTAAAGCTAATTTACACATTTCTGACGACCATATCACAGGAAAAAATAACAGATTCCCATTTTTGGATATTTTAGGGTATTTAAAGAATACCCACAAAAATCCCAAATTTGGAAGAGTGAGACAAGTCCCAATCAGGGAACTTGGTTGGGAATTCCCTGATTGGGACTTGTCTCACTTTGCCAAATTTGGGATTTTTATGGGTATTCTTTAAATACCCTAAAATATCCAAAAATGGGAATGCGTCCGTTATTTTTTCCTGTGCATGACTGTAAAACATGAATATATTTGTTGTTGTTGTTCAAATATCTATTACTTGGGCAGAGCACCAAGTAAGGGATTCGCGCTGCTTAGTAATGTCACAAAGTTGCTTTTTTGGGACAAGATTGGGCATGCAAAGTCTGTAGGTTTTCGGTTTGAGTCGGCTATTTGACGAGGTGAGAGCCGACTTGGTTCGAGATATCTCAAGATCACTCCGAGTTCTTTGATTTGCTCTCTTTTGGCTTGCCCACCAACTCACCTGCAGCCCGTCAGATCAGGTGAGTCTCCAAGTTGAGGGATTAGCCGATTGTGCCACTGCAACCCAAGGTAGTTTGAAATGTGAAAAATAGCTGTAAAATTATGCACAAGTGTCAGAGCAAGATTGGGCATGCAAATTCATGACTTTTTAGCTTATTTCAGATATTTCATGAAGTGAGACCAGAACTACTTCAAGATATCTTGAGATCACTTCGAGTTCCCGGAGTTTGAACCGACTCACCCATGACCCGTCAGATCAGATGCTAAGTTGATGGATTAGCCGATTTGCGCAACTGAGACCTAATGTAGTTGATTATGTGAAAATTAGGCTATAATATCGTGCACTGTGGGTTTCGTGCAATAAATGGAAGAAAAGAGACAAAAATAACCACTTGCTTCAATTGAAAATGATTGAAACAATAAAATGATTTAATAAGAGCAAGTAGTGAAAATTACTTGGTTTGCTGCTATCTTGACGTCTGGTTTATTAATTTAACAATGGTCACAATGGCTACAGGCATTGGTTTGATTGCTTCAAAGCAAAAAAGTCAAAGATCAATCATTCGTGGTCTTCTGAAAGTATCAAGGAAAGGCTGTGATGTCCTTTTTTGTTTGTATTGTGTACGAATTTACCACCACTTTGTTCTGAAGGCCTAAAATAAAGTGGACAACCATCCAAGGAGGGGGGGGGGGTACTCTGGATTTCAAGTGACAGGTTTGATTGAAGGATTTTTATGGGTGTGAAATTTTCAATTTCGTTTTTTTTTTTTCGGTCGTAAAACTGTGGCATGTATTTTTTTGGGTAGGCTGATTTAAGTAGGGATCTTTTTGAGTATTCAAAACAACCTGAAGATTCGTGATAGTTCCTGCGTGTGTTCCCCGCGTATCCTGGCTGTGTAGTTCCTCTCGAAATTTTTATGGCTCGGAAATTCAGGGTGGCATTTTTCGGGGGTTAAATTTTGGTCCAGGGATTTTTTTGGGTTTGTTTGAAGCCCTAGGGATTTTTTTGGGTTTTGATTTTTGCCTCCATTCAATCATCCCTGTCACTTGAAATCTGGAGTTCCCCCCCCACCCCACCCTGGGGCAACGATCCAAGTCATGATGCAGCTTTAACTGCTGACCTCCGTGTAGCCAAAACTTAGGATATTGTAGTCTCGTTTCTCATGTTGTTTGAAGTGTTGCATTTGGAAATCTTGGTGAGGATGGACAATCTTTTGAGCTTTCTACCTTTTCTTCTCATTTTGTCAGGCACAGCTTTCGACAAAAGTGGAAAAATATTGTTTTTAAAGAATTTTGCAAGAGTTTGAGTTGTTTCTGAAAGGTTTTGATGGGAAAGATGATCATTAGATTATAGGTGCAGTGTATCATGCCGGGAGCAGCCATCAGTCCTTGAGAACATCTACTGTTTACATTACAACTTTTTCAAAGGAAAAGGCCAGAACATTTTACATGTTTCCTTTTCATTCATTTCGTTATTCATTTCAATGTTGTCTTACAAAATTTTGCAGGTATTTTCTTAGCACAGTTTCTTTGTTTTGCCTGTTGTTGTGCCATCCTGACAAACAGTGAACTTAAGCAATAGGACGGGAGAGGATAGAAGATGGCAAACCTTGTGTCGCAAGCGTGGCAATAATCTTGTTTGAAAAGAATTTCTCTCAACCTTCACCTTCCTTAGTTTAAATACCCTGCTAGCAGAAAGATCGAAGTGACTCTGCTAGCAGGGTATCCTTTAAACAGATCTTTTTGGCTAAAGACGAGAGTTTGAGCAATTTTGTCCACTCTTGCTCAGATGTGGAGAGCCAAAGGAGATGTCAATACTTAACAAATGCTTTTGGGTGTATGGGTATGCTTGGAATTGAGTCAGCCATTGTGATGACAATGCACCAATCTCTCACAAAAATGAAAACCATAGCAGCCTGCGAGCAAGCTGTACAGTGTCTGAGAGAAGTCACGTGCGAGTGGCAAGCGAAACAAGACACGGTAACAAGGTCTGGGATAGATGATGAGAGCTCTTCATTTCCTCTGCCCCTCATGGCTTTGCTGCTCGCTCACGCGTTCGTTTGCCACTTGAAATGGAGAGGTTGTTCTCAGTCCATAACATTTCTTGGTAACGTTTTACATGAGTATTTTCAGGACATTTACATAATAATAATTAACCCACAAAATAATATCTCACCTGTACTAGAAAACAATATTAAATACAATATTTCTTCATTGATATTTTTCAACCATAGTTTTCACCTGTTTTTTGCTTTTGCAGATCCTTAGAAACATTAGAACTTCAGCATATATTTGGATTTGTTGTAAACAAGCCATCAAATGTAAACATTATTGGAGTTGAAGTACCAGTCAAGAGACCTCATTGGTTTGCTGTTCGCAAAATAAATGAAAGTTACTATAATTTGGACTCTAAACTGTCTTCTCCAGAGTGTGTTGGAAATGAAGAAAAACTTCTCACTTTTTTAATGGAACTGTTATCCCTTCCAGCAGTTCAACTTCTTGTCATTGTTGAAAAAATTGTAGCTGAAAACAATCTCTGGAAGAAGCAGTAAACAGTTCTATTGGGTAAAATACACATGTATCAAAAAATACAAGACATGGAGGAGCCTAGCCTGCAAACACAGATGTAAAAGTAATTTTTCGGGTGGAGAGAAGTGATGACTGGAAATATGCCTGCCTTCACAAGTTAGGATGGGCCAAGGTCTTACTAAATTTGTAATGGATATGGTTCCTACAATCTTGAAAAGGTCTTGAATTTTACTAGTCATCTTGAAAAGTTCTTGAATTTGGTTTAGGTCCTTAGAAAGTACTGATTTCTTTATTAGGTCTTGAAAAGTCCTTAAAATTCCCAACCTTGTCTATGCCAGACATCTTTTTCTGTAAAATTAGATTATTTCGCCAAGGAAAATTTAGCTCATCCTCGGTGTAAGAACCAGTAAAACTCATGGGTAAGGTAAAAACAAGTCTTGTCTCGGAGAGTAGTGTAAAATAATGAGATCAATGATGGCTGAAGAAGTGAAAATCGTAAATGACCCCACAACATGTTCTAGCCAATAGGGTGATCAAAGGGGGTTAAAGAATGCTGATTTATTAAATAAATCTTTGTCATTGAAAACTGTATAACTGTATGTATAGTATCAGTCATGTTTATTTAAAATTTCTTAAGTTGTCCCCGGCTCTAACTATTCATGATCAGAAATATTTAGGTTTAACAGTTAGCAGAAACTGAGAATCAAACTACTGTAACTATTTGGGTTGCATTCTTAGGATGAATCTTCTTTTCCCAAAAAAGGGTAAGAAAGGGTAGGGAATTGGTCATTTCTGCCTGTAAAAGGCCCAAAAAGGCTAACAAATGCATTAAATTTCAGGGCCCAGTTGTTCGAAGGCCGATTAGCGCTTAACCCGGGGTTTCTTTTTCTGGCGTTCAAAAGCATTTTCTCGGGTAATTTTCTCTGTTGTTTTTAGAGCTTCCAATCATCAACTTGTAGACAAAAAGAATTAAAACTGAAATGCTTTTTGAGCTTTCAAATCTGAATTCAAATCTCGCACTAACCCTGGGTTATCTTAACCCAGCTTTGAACAACTCGGCCCAGGGCTGTAAAATAGTTGAGAAAACGTTCTGGTTTCTCAATTTATTCATATTTTAAAGACCGTGCATCTACAGCGTTTAAAAGGGATGCAATTTCTAAAATATTTGGAATATGAAAGGAATATTATTTTGTCACTAGGAAGTATGCATTTTCTGCCAAAAATGGTATGTCGAAAGGTCAGTTAGTGGTTCGACCTTGGGCAAGGGGGGTGAATAGGCAAACAGATTAGCAGATTTTGAAAATATTTTTGCCCGGATTTTGGATTCAAAGTGAGATTTCAAGGGGTTTCCAGATCCTGCGGATTGCAGATTCATCCAGTTTTTGGGACCAGATTTTGGAGTTTGCATGTATTTAAAATATTTTTGCCCTGATTTCGGATTCAGGGTGAAATTTTAATGGGGGATTTAGTTAATGAATCACAGCGGATCGGCAGATTTGCATACCCCTATTCACCCCCCTCTTGGGCGGAGCCTCCCCATATAAATTTTGAGCATGGAACAAAGCAAAGATCTTAAGTCCCTGAGAGGATTCAAACTAATGACCTCCCAAACACCTGGTGTGCGCTGTATCCGCTGAGCTGTGGAGAGACTCATGGAGAACAAGTCCATGGATATAGAAGGTTAAAACGTTCTTTGTCCCTTGCTGATCATCACATTTTTCAATAAGAGCACAGGGAAAGTGATAATATGGGATTTACAAATGGTATGAATTGGATTGGGTCTTTCCTTTTTGAAAACCATTAAAATGCCTACAGTGGCTAGAAATTAATGGCAGGCAAAGCTCTCAAAAGCCGGAAGAAAAGGTTGAGCAAAAGTGACAACATTAAAAAACAACCTGCAAAATGTTGTTGGGTTGCCTGTGATAGTAGTACTGCATCCATTATTTAATGGCTCGATATCATATGCCTAGTTATGTTAATTAATTAACTTTGCTTGAAGGGGTAATCAAAATGACAAATTAGTAAGTTTGTTTTTTTCTTTTCTCTGTCCACTATTAATAAGTATTCAGCACAAAAAGAGCTTTGGGAAATTAAATCCGAATTCTGTCTAATGTATTTTCAGTTTATCAAAAATGTTTGAAAGAAAAAACTGATTCGAAGTTGTGTTATGCCCCTTTCGGCTTCGTTCTGTGCTGGTTATTAACTTGTCGCCTTGACTACAGTCAATGTTATGTGATGTCACACAAGCTGTGAATGTTGATACAGATCTGCCCTGTGATTGGCTATATCCAACTTGTGAAAAGCCTAGAAATCGACAGGAAAGACAATATCAGAACGTAGCAGAAAGTCGTAATCTTCTGATTTATTTTCGTTGTTTCCTGCTTCTTTTCTCTTAGAATGTAGCAGTTTACGCGGTTTCGAAGAATGCGCGCAGATAAAGCGCGCAAACACGTGCTTTGGCATTCCAAAATGGCGAAAAAAAGTAGCGAATGGAGTCGAATTTTCGAGAGTACGAGCTGCTGGGACTCTCTGTCGTTTATCAACATTCAACACAAGTATCTGCTAAGTAAACTGCGAAGTCATCATGCCAGATAAGGAAAAAGAGAACACTCATAATTTAATAGTAAGTAAACGGTGTTAAAATTTTGAAGTTTTAAGCTTAACTTTTCGCAAGTTTTGTAATTACTCCGTAACGCCGCTCACTCCCGATTAATGACTTCTCGGCGAAACAGTCTGCATGTGCAGACTGTGTGTAGAAGGTTGTGAATTTGTTTTCCACCCTTGTATGAGCGTTTGTTCATTTATGTCTGTATGATTATCTTTGTTCAAGGTGGCCGTTAGAGTGAGGCCTTTGAATGCGGCGGAAGTGGAGGATAAAAATTGTACGGAGATTGTGCATGTGCTGGACGAAAATGTGAGTGGTTATATAATTAAGTTTACATTCAATATTTTTATGGATACAGTTCGCCGTTTGGGAGGACTGCCCTTTGCAATAACGATGATTACACCACGGGCACCCCTTTACAACTTGTAGCTCGTTAAGTTTGGGTTCAAACGTTATATGCTTTTGTAAGTGCATGTTTTGCGCGGTGCTTAAGAGATCGGAAAGGATATCGTGGCTCTCATTACTTTAGTATATATGGGAAAGCTCATTGTGCCTGTTTGTTTTTAGTCTCGTAGTCGTTCAAAACCATCCATGTGTGTGTTCCGGTTCTTAGAAGAGTTTACTTCGGTCCTAGCTTCTTTATTCAATAATAAAAGAGAGTAATAAAACAAAGACTTAGTATTCTTTTCTTGTAAATTTCCGAAAAAATTATTCAATGAATATGAATGAAGCAATGAGACTTGAAACAATACTGTATCTATGCAAGGAATTTTTTCTTGGAAAAATTCATTGCATTGAAAACAAGGAAGTGCAGCAATATTGTAATATGTCAAAAATATTAACTACTGAACAAGATGTATTAACTATAGTCCCAGCTCTCATAAGCGACCACCTCGGAAATTCGAAAAAGTGGTTGTAACCAGAGCCAGTCGCACTTAACGAGAATGAGCTGTTTTAAGTGACTGCGTGGTAAAACAATAGAAAGTGGTCGCTTACGAGAGCTTCAGAAACTTGTTAATAATTCATAAAGAAAAAACAAAAGAAATTTTGTTTAAGGTTATCTGATATAGACATGGCTAAACTTTTTTTAGACCATTAGTGCATTGTGCAGTTTCATTTAAGTGCTGATTTACTATGAATAAGACTCTGAGTGGCCATTGAGCAAAGGAAAAGTCAAGTTGTGTAATCCTAAAAGTGTTCATGGTCGTTTATGGGAGTGGTTGCTTACAACAGCTTTTCATTACAAATTTTAAGTCTCAGGAAATACAAATTTAATTGAAGATATGATTGTGGCAGTGGTAATTGAAAATAATTTCGGGACTTCAAGGGTATTGAAACTCATGGCCTTTGCATTAGCGCTGCAGTGCTCTACCAATTGAGCCATGAAGACCCATACTTCGGGAGCAGACCATTGGATTAAATTTGCAATACCTTAAATTACAATTACCACTGCAATGGTCATATCTTCATTTAAATTTGTATTTCCACAGTTCAGTGCATTGTAATTTTATATCCAAAGTTTGACGAGTTTGCTTTTCACCAACACATTTCTCTTCTAAACAAAGAGAGGGCTAATACATACTAATGTGTCTGAATGTGCACTGACGCATTTGATTTCAGAGCAGACATGTATGTTTGTCAGCTTAGTTGCATGGACTCGTCCAGTCGGATGCACAGACTCGTATTTACTGATGTGTATAATTTACGCGAATATTTTGGTGGGCTTAGTTTGGGCATGCATTCTACATGCACTGCACTGTAGCCTGTGTTGCAAATGCAAAATTAAGTTAACCTCCGTTTGTATGTCTGAAGTAGTGACAATGTCCTTGTTCTGGGACTTAACCAGTGTTTGGTTATGTCTGTGGCGCAGGCTTACTTGACAGGTGACCCTTTAATTGAAATATTAGGATATTTCTGTGGCAGTTATTTCAGTAACTCTGGTGGATTGGCATATTATATTTCAGCTGCTGGTATTGAAGGATCCTAATGAAGATCAAGATGACGTTTTGAGGGCAAACAGGTCCAGAGAAAAACAGTACATTTTTGATTGTGCATTTGGTCCAAACTCAAGTCAGGTGAGTCACATAATGACATATTTGTTTCTTTGGAATCAGCAGTCAGATAGGTTTTGTTTTGTTTTGTGAGTGGGTAAATCCCCTTGCCCATTATAAAATTCATTACTGACAAAAATTAACCATATCCTGTTTAAGAAAAAGGTTAGGGTTTTAGATGTATTAAATAGCAGTATTGTGATGATTTCTCCCCTTCAAAAATTTCAAAGGGAAAAAATCTTAACAATATTATTAATATCCTAGCTTGTTCAAGGAAGTGTCTTGAGTGACTGATTCATTTTTTGTAGTGTAGGGGTTCCAAAATCACAGCCTGCATGGTTGTGAGCATGTTGTGTTACAAGTTATTGTAAACAAGCAGAATTTTCTGTTTGTGAACCCAGTAATAAGTAACTTGACATATTTAGTAACGCTTGAATTGCTGATCTATAGATCACTTGCTTTGGCCTGTGATTTGCTAACTGCATACGTGCCAACTCTCGCGGATTATCCTGGAGTCTCCCTGATATGGCACTGATCTCCCGCTCTCCCATACGGGTCACCATAAAATTATCTGCCAAATAAAATCATCTTTTGAAGCCCATTTTTGGCTCAAAACTTGAATTTTTCTTATTCGCAGTATGGTTTCTGGGGCATTTTTGTACGTATTTAGTCACTGACAAAGATTATTTGTGGCATTAGAACGATGAAAGAGTACGAGTAGTCCCCATATTTCCTCAGGGATAGTAGAGCGAGCAAAACGCGAGCGCGCGTGTAAATCACCCCACACGAGAAAGGCGAGATTCGGCAGGGAGAGAGAAAAATGACACGAAAATGACACCGTCGCATCTTGCCTTCTTGATATTATGTATTTCATGTAAGACTTCTTATAATGTCCTAAGTCATTTCCATTGGAGGCTGGGTCAATTTGTCAGGGGGGGTGGGGTCTGTTGAAATTCCGGGGGGTAGTGAAAAAAAGAGAGTCTCAAGATTTTAGATCTCCAGAGGTTGGCATCTCTGTAACTGTTTCCATGTTCTTCCAACATCCCATGTGGGTTATCTCTTGGTAAACCAATAGACAATGAGGCATTGCTAACAAACGTCTGTCACCTAATACATTTATCTGTACTCTGCAGGCTGATGTTTACAGTGAAGTGGCCAAACCATTGATTGAAAATGTCATCACAGGATACAATGCCACAGTGTTTGCTTATGGAGCCACAGGTACAGTTGACTCCTGATAGCTTGAACCCTCGCTAACTCGAACCAAAATTGATTTCCCCTTGATTTCCTCCATACATTTACTGTAATTTTACCCTTGATAACCTCCCGCTAACTTGAAGAAATTTTTGTTTCCCTTCAGATAATTTCTATATGATTTTACCCTCGATAACTCGGACCATGTTTTAAGCATATGGTTACAAGAATA